TTGTAAATAAAGTTAAAAACTTTGGTACATTATCCTATCTGTTTCTCGGCCGATCCTTTCGACTCGGTTGATGATGTTATCTATTACTTAGTAAAATCCGTGTGTGAGTTCGAGCTCGAGCTGGATGGTGAAGTTGGATCCATTCAATGCTATCAAGTTCGTTTGGAATGAAAAAAATATGGATCATGTGACATTATCGTTTGTTAGTTGGATGAATTTCAATACAATATTCATTTATTTTCAGATATCGAGTTTTTAAGTGAATTTCAATACAATATTTATTTATTTTCACAATATCGAGTTTATTAGCTTTTAAGTGAATTTGAAGTTTATAGCTGAGACCTTATAACTGAAAAAAAACTAGCTTAAATTATAAAAGTGTTTGGTAAAATTAGCTAATAAGCGAGTTGAATAAAAAAAATAAAAAAAATTAATGATCTTATTTGAAAAGCTACCCAATGAAACTTATGAAATAAGCTCGAGTTTTAAAGAAACTCGTACTACCAAACAAGTCTGATTTGAATACAGGAAGCTTACCAAACCAACCTTATTTGAATACAAAAAACTTATAAGCTAATAAAATAAGCTACAAACTAGTTTATATGCTTACCAAACACAGTCTATATAAAATGTCAAGCAAAAGTTATGAAATGAATGCCATAATAATCTTCATATATGTGTAGTGTGATGAGCTCAATATAAGCTTAAAACAACACAATTTCTTCATAAAACAAGTAAACAATCGAAGTAACGAAAACCGATAGTAGCTCATGAAACTCGACACTTATTATCCGCTTTCGAACATTCCCGGTTCTTGAAGTCGTAGGCCTTGAATCTGCAAAATCAACATATTTTTTTGCTTAAGAAGCTTTTATAAATTGGCTTTCCATTTTTTTTTAGTAGTACCTTAGGCTGATTAGCAATAGCATTAGAAGGAGGCAAGAGCTTAATGCCCTTTTTACTTCTTGCAATAATTCTTCTTGTGACGGGGGACATCATTTGATCAGTTGGGCTAGTGTACCTGTAAAAATTCAAAAATTTTACCATTTTCATGTGCTAAAAAATGAAAAGAGTAAATAAAAAATTACTGTGTGCAATATTTACCTTTCCAAGTATTTGAATGGCTCGGCCGGGACCTTAAGCCGGTCGGGCGTGCCGGTTTTTGCAGGATCGAGTGTGGGGGAGTTTGTAGGGGTTTTGAAGGTTTTTTTTTCATCCATTGTTGATGCAAATTTGGTTCATGATAGATAACTTGAGTTTTTGAGATATTTATATAGACTCTATTTCATTAAATAAAAAAAAAAATATATATATATATATAAAATAATAGAAAAATGGAGAGATAATAATTGATAGACAACGTTTATGTGACCGTTTGTGGTGGGCAGTCCAACGGAATAATATGTTTTTTTTTTCTGTATTATTTTCATAATTACAAAGTTGTGGTCACACATAGATTTGGACATTTTTAAAAATTAAAAAGAAGCACAACAAAATTGTGTAACTTTCTTTGGAGTTTCGAGCTTTGAAGTTAGATACCCGTTTGTTTTAGTGTTGAAAATTCAAAAGTAAGCAATCTGTTACTACTTACTAGAGTTCATTTTCCCTTTTTTATGTTCGGCTTGCTGCTCACGGCCTTTCATGCGTGGCATTTTGTTTGACGGGAAAAAATCTTTTTCACCCCATAACAAAAATAAATTAAGTTTTTCACACCGCTCAATAAAAAGCTAAGTTTTTCACCTTAGAAAGTGCAGAGGTTATGCGAAAACTGTCGCATATTCATCGCATAACTGTCCATATGTGAAGGTTATACGAAAACTGTCGCATAACTGTCGCATATCAATTGCATAACTGTCGCATATTCATCGCACAATGCCTTCGCACAGTTATGCAATTGATATGCGATAGTTATGCGACAGTTTTTCGCATCACCTTCGCATATGGACAGTTATGCGATGAATATGCGACAGTTTTCGCATAACCTTCGCACAGTTATGCAATTGATATGCGACAGTTATGCGACAGTTTTTCGCATCACCTTCGCATATGGACAGTTATGCGATGAATATGCGACAGTTTTCGCATAACCTTCGCACAGTTATGCAATTGATATGCGACAGTTATGCGACAGTTTTTCGCATAACCTTCGCATATGGACAGTTATGCGATGAATATGCGACAATTTTCGCATAATTTCGCACTTTATGGGGTGAAAAATATAGCTTTTTATTAGACGGTGTGAAAAACTTAACAAGACTTCAAAACGGGGTGAAAATAGATATTTTCACTTTGTATGATTATATTTGGTAAAGCTAGCTTATCAGCTAGCTTATAGCTTATCAGTAATTTTATAGATTATAGCTTATAATAAGCTAGCTTATAATTTATTAGTAATTTTTTAGCTTATAGCTTATGACTTATAGCTGATACGTTAGCTTATATGATACTGTTTGGTAAAATTAGTTGATAAGCTAGCTGGAATAAAAAATTCAACTAGCTTATTTGAAAAACTACCTAAGGAAACTTATAAATAAGTTTGAACTTTTTAAAAAAGTTCGTCCTACCAAACGAGGCTTATTTGAATATAGAAGACTTATAAACTAACCAAATAAACCATAAACTAGTTTATTTGTCTACCAAATATAGCCTCTATTTTTGCCAAATAGATTAAAATGCCCAAGACTCCCAATAATATGCGAGTCTTAACAAATAAATATCTCACCAACTAAAATGTTCCCCAATTAATTCCAAGTGATTAAACACTTGCGGCCCATTTCTCTTTTCATGCCAACATTATTTTGTTGGGCCTCTTTTATTATTTTTCATTTCAATGCTAGAGCCTAGAAGCATATATAGTTGATTAATTATGGGATCCTCGATAATTGCTCGTGTGAACTCCCATTCGCATTCACAAAATACTCCAATGCACTGAAAATAAATATAAAACAATCAAATTAAATGAATCCATCAACATAATAAATAAGTCAAAAAATATAAACATGCGAATAAATTAAGTATATAAAAATACACTATTAAATATACGAAATACACACATTGTTCGACCTATCACATAGCCAAGTAAGAATTTGATGGTTCTTACAATCCCAATCTTCTAACTGATCGAAGTATGCCGTAAGAACCTGTGGGTTGGGCTTGGTATCCCCAGTACGAGATGGATGCACAGGTGGCAATACATCACCAGTCACAATTCTCCACAATTTTATCCCAATTAAGAAACTTTTCATAGACTGTGTTCAAAGACTATAATTATTTCCTGATAAGACAACACTAATAGGAGAATGTGGATCCATAAGATCCATATCCAAAAACAGATCAACACAATATCACAACAAATGAAATCGAAGTACGAGTCGAATCACGTACCAGTCAAAAAATTAGTATGAACAAAAATTAAAAATGTTACAAATACCAAAACCAATCAAACCAAAATGTAGTCAACGATCACAAGAGTAGACGGCTAGAAAACGACGACGATCGGAGATGAGGGTGAGCCTCACGTGCCGGCTGAAGCTGTTGGCGTTGTCACAAAGATCAAGAGCGTGTGGGCCCCACGCGCCGACTTCTGGCCTCAAATTTTCGGTGAACGTTCGCCATGGGACGCCAGAGGGGATGGTCGGGGGTGGTGAGAGTCAACGGTGGCTAGAGAAGAGCAACGAAAGACCAAGCCTATGTTGGACCCCCAATCCTGTTATGGTACACTTTACGTGCATGAGACTGCACCCGTTTCTCGTTTCTTATATTTCATAACTTTACAGAAATCTTCGTCCATATTTATATTTCCCATTGCAAAATGCTATAAACTAACACACAATTATCGAAATCGATCATACAACCAATTTGTGATGCAGTGACAGAACTATATAGGGGACCG